GAAATGCCGGCCAGACAGGCTGATGCACCATTTTCTCTACACATGTGCGTTAGTTACCTTTCAAACCTTTACGTTCACTAGATGAATATATTTCCTACTTTCTATTTGAGTGAGACCACTTGATTCCGTGTACTATGCGAGATCTGAGCGCTTCCGTTCTCCCTGGCATTTGCATTTTAAGTTCCGATACTGACTGACCTGGCCAATGCACCATTTTCTCTATACATGTGCGATGAATACATTTCAAACCTGTTTAGCTGACTAGATTTATATATTTCCCACCTTCTGATCGAGTGAGACCGTTAGATTCCCTCTACTTTTTGAGAAATGAGCGTTTCCGTTCTCCCTGGCCCCACCTGCACTATGAGTGCGAAATGCCGGCCAGACTGGCCGATGCACCATTTTCTCTACATATGTGCGTTAGTTACCTTTCAAACCCTTACGTTCACTAGATGAATATATTTCCTACCTTATATTTGAGTGAGACCACTAGATTCCGTGTATTATGCGAGATCTGAGCGGTTCCGTTCTCCCAGGCATTTGCACTCTAAGTTCCCATACTGACCGACCTGGCCAATGCACCACTTTCTATATATATATGCATTAGATTCCTTCCGAACCTTATAAGCTCACTAGATTTATATATTTCCCACCTTTTGATCGAGTGAGACCGTTAGATTCCCTCTACTTTTTGAGAAACGAGCGTTTCCGTTCTCCCTGGCCCCACCTGCACTATGAGCGCGAAATGCCGGCCAGACAGGCTGATGCACCATTTTCTCTACACATGTGCGTTAGTTACCTTTCAAACCCTTACGTTCACTAGATGAATATATTTCCTACTTTCTATTTGAGTGAGACCACTTGATTCCGTGTACTATGCGAGATCTGAGCGCTTCCGCTCTCCCTGGCATTTGCATTTTAAGTTCCGATACTGACCGACCTTGCCAATGCACCATTTTCTCTATACATGTGCGTTGAATATATTTCAAACCTTTTTAGCTGACTAGATTCATATATTTCCCACCTTCTGATCGAGTGAGATCGTTAGATTCCCTCTACTTTTTGAGAAAAGAGCGTTTCCGTTCTCCCTGGCCCCACCTGCACTATGAGTGCGAAATGCCGGCCAGACTGGCCGATGCACCATTTTCTCTACACATGTGCATTAGTTACCTTTCAAACCCTTACGTTCACTAGATGAATATATTTCCTACCTTATATTTGAGTGAGACCACTAGATTCCGTGTATTATGCGAGATATGAGCGGTTCCGTTCTCCCAAGCATTTGCACTCTAAGTTCGCATACTGACCTACCTGGCCAATGCACCACTTTCCATATACATATGCATAAGATTCCTTCGGAATCTTATAAGCTCACTAGATTTATATATTTCCCACCTTCTAATCGAGTGAGACCGCTAGATTCCCTTTACTTTTTGAGAAATGAGCGTTTCCGTTCTCCTTGGCCCTACTTGCACTATAAGTGCGAAATGCCGGCCAGACTGGCCGATGCACCATTTTCTCTACACATGTGAGTTAGTTACCTTTCAAACCCTTACGTTCACTAGATGAATTTATTTCCTACCTTCTATTTGAGTGAGACCACTAGATTCCGTGTACTATGCGAGATCTGAGCGCTTCCGTTCTCCCTGGCATTTGCACTCTAAGTTCCCATACTGACCGACCTGGCCAATGCACCATTTTCCATATACATATGCATTAGATTCCTTTCGAACCTTATTAGCTCACTAGATTTATATATTTCCCACCTTCTGATCGAGTGAGACCGCTAGATTCCCTTTACTTTTTGAGAAATGAGCGTTTCCGTTCTCCTTGGCCCTACTTGCCCCATAAGTGCGAAATGCCGGCCAGACTGGCCGATGCACCATTTTCTCTACACATGTGCGTTAGTTACCTTTCAAACCCTTACGTTCACTAGATGAATTTATTTCCTACCTTCTATTTGAGTGAGACCACTAGATTCCGTGTACTATGCGAGATCTGAGCGCTTCCGTTCTCCCTGGCATTTGCACTCTAAGTTCCCATACTGACCGACCTGGCCAATGCACCATTTTCTATATATATATGCATTAGATTCCTTTCGAACCTTATTAGCTCACTAGATTTATATATTTCCCACCTTCTGATCGAGTGAGACCGCTAGATTCCCTTTACTTTTTGAGAAATGAGCGGTTCCGTTCTCCTTGGCCCTAGTTGCACTATAAGTGCGAAATACCGGCCAGACTGGCCGATGCACCATTTTCTCTACACATGTGCGTTAGTTACCTTTCAAACCCTTACGTTCACTTTATGAATTTATTTCCTACCTTCTATTTGAGTGAAGCCACTAGATTCCGTGTATTATGCGAGATCTCAGCAGTTCCGTTCTCCCAGGCATTTGCACTCTAAGTTCCCATACTGACCGACCTGGCCAATGCACCATTTTCCATATACATATGCATTAGGTTCCTTTCGAACCTTATTACCTCACTAGATTTATATATTTTCCACCTTTTGATCGAGTGAGACTGCTAGATTGGCTCTATTTTTTGAGAAATGAGCTTTTCCGTTCTCCTTGGCCCTAGTTGCACTATAAGTGCGAAATGCCGGCCAGACTGGCCGATGCACCATTTTCTCTACACATGTGCGTTAGTTACCTTTCAAACTCTTACGTTCACTAGATGAATATATTTCCTACTTTCTATTTGAGTGAGACCACTTGATTCCATGTACTATGCGAGATCTGAGCGCTTCCGTTCTCCTTGGCATTTGCATTTTAAGTTCCGATACTGACCGACCTGGCCAATGCACCATTTTCTCTATACATGTGCGTTGAATACATTTCAAACCTTTTTAGCTGACTAGATTTATATATTTCCCACCTTCTGATCGAGTGAGACCGTTAGATTCCCTCTACTTTTTTAGAAACGAGCGTTTCCGTTCTCCCTGGCCCCACCTGCACTATGAGTGCGAAATGCTGGCCAGACTGTCCGATGCACCATTTTCTCTACACATGTGCGTTAGTTACCTTTCAAATCCTTACGTTCACTAGATGAATTTATTTCCTACCTTGTATTTGAGTGAGACCACTAGATTCCGTATACTATGCAAGATCTGAGCGCTTCCGTTCTCCCTGGCATTTGCACTCTAAGTTCCCATACTGACTGACCTGGCCAATGCACCACTTTCCATATACATATGCATTAGATTCCTTTCGAACCTTATTAGCTCACTAGATTTATATATTTCCCACCTTCTGATCGAGTGAGGCCGCTAGATTCCCTCTACTTTTTGAGAAATGAGCGTTTCCGTTCTCCTTGGCCCTAGTTGCACCATAAGTGCGAAATGCCGGCCAGACTGGCCGATGCACCATTTTATATACACATGTGCGTTACTTACCTTTCAAACCCTTACGTTCACTAGATGAATTTATTTCCTACCTTCTATTTGAGTGAGACCACTAGATTCCGTGTACTATGCGAGATCTGAGCGCTTCCGTTCTCCCTGGCATTTGCACTCTAAGTTCCCATACTGACCGACCTGGCCAATGCACCATTTTCCATATACATATGCATTAGATTCCTTTCGAACCTTATTAGCTCACTAGATTTATATATTTCCCACCTTCTGATCGAGTGAGACCGCTAGATTCCCTCTACTTTTTGAGAAATGAGCGTTTCCGTTCTCCTTGGCCCTAGTTGCACTATAAGTGCGAAATGCCGGCCAGACTGGCCGATGCACAATTTTCTCTACACATGTGCGTTAGTTACCTTTCAAACCCCTACGTTCACTAGATGAATTTATTTCCTACCTTCTATTTCAGTGAGACCACTAGATTCCGTGTACTATGCGAGATCTGAGCGCTTCTGTTCTCCCTGGCATTTGCACTCTAAGTTCCCATACTGACCGTGTCAAACATCATATATGTTATGCTTGTGTAGGCTACAGTGGGTTAGCCTATAGGGGGTACACAATTCTAGGGTTTCCTACTTGTACTCATTTCACTGCTAGTTCATTCATTCCTGTTCGCTTATTCTCACATGGTATAGAGCGAGTCCTTCCTAAGGACCGTTTTTTTAGGGCCCACCGAAGCGCGCCCCGAGGCGCGCATTTTTTTTCGCGACCCTTCAGGTCGCCATTGCTCTCGCGGCCCCGCTGTCCCTTTGACGCGGCCCCGCCACCCCTGCTTGACGCGGCCCCGCCGCCTCCTCTGCAGCGGCCCCGCCGCCTCCTCTGACGCGGCCCTGCCGCGCGCTAATCGCGGCCCCGCCGCCGGCTCTGACGCGGCCCCGCCGCCGGCTCTGACGTGGCCCCGCCGCCCGCTGATCGCGGCCCGCCGCCGGCCCTGACGCGTCCCCGCCATCGGCTCTGACGCGGCCCCGCCGCCGGCTACAACGCGGCCCCGCCGCCCGCCTCGATGAGGCCCCGCCGCCGGCTCTGACGCGGCCCCGCCGCCGCCTCCTGATCGCGGCCCCGCCCCGGCTCTCTCACGGCCTCGCCGCCGGCCCTGACGCGGCCCCGCCCCGGCTCTCACGCGGCCCCGCCGCCGGCTCTCTTGCGGCCCCGCCGCCGGCTCTCTTGCGGCCCCGCCCCGGCTCTCTTACGGCCCCTGCCGCCGGCCCTGACGAGGCCCTGCCGCCGGCTCTGACGCGGCCCCGCCCCGGTTCTTTCACGCGGCCCTGCCGCCCCACCTGCAGCAGTCGTGGAGCCTTGCAGCCGAGGTCTGGTTAGACGACCTGCAGCTATTCTTACAGTGCGACAGGGCTGACGGCCTTTCTCTCTTTGACCTCACCTCTGGCGCCTCTCGTGCTCCTGCTGCTGATGCTGATCCCACTGTCCGCTCTCAGTGGGCCACCCGCGATGCTGCTGCACGTCTTGCTGTGCGTCGCCACCTCCCTACCTCTGATCGTGCGCACTTTAGTCAGTACAAGAGTGCTCAGACCTTGTACGACGCTGTAGTTGCGCGCTACTCCTCCCCTGCCACTGCTGCACTGAGCCGTCTCATGCTTCCCTACCTCTTTCCTGACCTCTCTGCCTTTCCCACTGTCGCTGACCTCATTACGCACCTCCGCACTAGTGACACTCGCTACCGCGCCGCCCTTCCTGCTGAGTTCTGCGCTAAGAACCCACCCCCCATGTACATCGCTCTCTACTACATAGTCGCGCGCCTCCCTGACTCCCTTCGCGTCGTCAGGGACCACTTTCTCGCAGTCTGTCCCACCACCCTCACCGTCGACCTCCTCGAGAAGGCCCTCCTCGCAGCGGAGAAGAGCATAGTCGCTGTAGGTGCTTCTCGTGGTGACCCTCGCACCCCCATCTTTGAGGGGTGCTCTCCTTCCCCCCTGCTGCCCTCTGTTGCCTCTGCTGCTGCTGCCGACCTGCTTGGTCTTGAGTCGGTCGGCGCGGCGTCTGCCCCTAGTGGGAGACGTCGCTCCAGCAAGGGCAAGGGGGGCAAGGGCGCGGGTGGAGCTGGAGGGGGCGGTGGCGGTGGCGGCGGTGGCGGCGGAGGGAGTGGGGGTGGCGGCGGGACTAGTGGCGGGGGTGGTGGTGGTGGTGGCAGCAGCGGCGGAGACGGTGGTGGTGGTGCCAGCGGTGGTGGTGGAGGCAGCGGCGGAGGTGGAGGCGGCGGAGGTGGAGGCGGTGGAGGCGGCAGCGGAGGAGGCGGTGGTGGTGGAGGAGGTGGAGCTGGTCGGGGTGGTACCCAGCAGCGTAGCGGCGGTGGTGGTGGCCAGCGCTCGCAGCGGCAGCAGCAGCAGCGCTCGCGGGACATCCCTCCGCCTCAGCAGCTTCGTGAGTGGTACGCTGGGCGTCAGAGGGGTGGGGGTAGTGGTCCCTGCACCTACGTTCTTCGTTCCGGCGACCGCGCGGGTGAGCAGTGTGGGGGTGCCCACGCCGCCCAGCGCTGCTTTGGCCGCCTGACGGACGCTTGGCGTCAGCAGTTCCCTGGGGCTAGTGAGATCCCTCGCTGGGATGAGCTTCTTAGGGCTGGTGTAGCGATCTTTGATCTTGATTTTGATGCTATCCTTGCTGCTATGTATGCTGTGACTTATAGTGAGGAGAATGAGGGTTACCGGTGTTTCCAGCCCGACCCGGGCATTGGTACTGCTGCGCTAGGTGCTTGTGAGGCTGCTGCTCTAGGTGCCAGTGCGTCTGCGCTCTCAGGTACTGGTGAGACTGCGCTCTCAGGTACTGCGTCGTCCTCGTCCTCCCTCACTTTCACACTTGACTCCGGGGCTTCTCGCTCCTTCTTTCGAGACCGCACTACCCTTACGCCGCTCGGCCGGCCGGTTGCAGTCTCCCTTGCTGACCCCTCTGGGGGTCCTGTCCTGTCTCACTTCTCCACTGTCCTCCCGTGTCCGGCTGCCCCTTCGGGCACCCTGTCTGGTCTCTACCTTCCCTCGTTCTCTACGAACTTGGTGAGTGGCGCGGACCTGCAGGATGTGGGGGTTCACCAGTTCACTCCTGCGAGTCAGCGGGTGACCCACTGCACGGAGGCACGCACAGGCCGACACCTGGCCACGTTCTCGCGTCGGCCGGGGTCGAGTCTCTACACCCTGACCGTTGAGTCTCCTCCTGTCCCTGCGTCTGGTCAGGTGGCTGCGTCAGGTCAGGTGCTTGCTGCTGCGTCCCGGTCAGGTCCTGAGTCTGCCCCCTGTTCTTGTCGCCTCCTGTCTCACGAGACTCTCCTGTGGCACCACCGTCGTGGCCACCCCTCCTTGCCCCGTCTTCGGAGCATGGCTTCCCGTGTCCTTGTCTCTGGTCTTCCCCAGTCTCTCCCTCCTCTCCCCTCCGGGCCAGGACCTTCATGTATCCCCTGTGTCGAGGGTCGCCTCCGGGCTACTCCTCACTCCTTGCACTTCCCCCCGACAGAGGCTCCCCTGCAGACGCTTCACATGGATGAGTGGGGCCCAGCCCCCGTCCGTGGGCAGGGTTACGAGCGCTACTTCCTGTTGGTGGTTGAGGACTACTCGCGTTACACCACAGTCCTCCCCTTGCGCAGCAAGGGTGCGGTCACTGAGGTGCTGATCGACTGGATCCGCGAGGCTCGTCTCCAGCTCAGGAAGAGCTTCGGCTCGGACTTTCCTGTTCTGCGTCTGCACTCGGACAGAGGCGGAGAGTTCTCTTCTCGCCTTCTGCGAGACTACTGTCGTGCACGGGGGATCCGCCAGACCTTCACGCTTCCGGACTCACCACAGCAAAATGGGATTGCTGAGCGCCGCATTGGCATGGTCATGGATGTCGCTCGTACGTCCATGATGCATGCGGCTGCCCCCCATTTTCTGTGGCCGTTTGCGGTGAGGTACGCGGCGCATCAGCTCAACCTTCACCCCCGGGTCTCTCGGTCTGCGATGTCCCCAGCCTTGCTGTGGACGGGGAAGGTTGGCGATGCGTCTGTGTTCCGTCTCTTCCCCTACCGCACTCCTTCCCTCCCCCCTCCCCCGGACTTCCTTGTGCCGGTTCCCCCCCCGGTAGACCCCCTCCCCCCTCAGGTTCCTGCCCCCTCAGGTGTGTCCCAGGTAGACGCCGTTGACCCGGTCGAGGTTATTGGTGACTCTGGTGCTGCTGCGGGTGCTGAGCCTGGGGTGCTGACTCTGGGGGTGCTGAGCCTGGGGGTGCTACTGCTGGGGGTGCTGGGCCTGAGGGTGCTACTGCGGAGGGTGCGGAGCCTGGGGGTGCTGAGCCGGGGGGTGCTGTGCCTGGAGGTGCTGGGTCTAGGGGTGCTGGGTCGGGAGCTGCTGAGCCTGGGGGTACTGAGCTGGGAGCTGCTGAGCCTGGGGGTGCTGCGTCTGGAGCTGCTGAGCCTGGGGTTTCTCCTGCTGCTGCGTCTCGCCGGGAGCCCCTCTCTCCACAGGAGCTGCGCGAGTGGTTCGCTCGCTGCTGGAGGCGTGCTGCTGAGTCTGGAGGTGCTGCTAGAGCTGGAGCTGGAGCTTCTTCGACCGTAGAGGGTGCGGGTGCTGCCGGTCCCGGAGCTGCTGGACCTGCGGGTCCTCCTGGAGCTGGAGCTGCTGAGGGCGTTGGTGCTGAGCCTACTGCTGTTGGTCCTGCCGCTGGAGGTGTGGGTGGCGCTGGTGCTGTCGCTGAGGGTGCTGGTGCTGTCCCTGCTGAGTCTGGAGCTGCCGCGCGGCCTCGGCCGTACTTCGTTCCGCTCCTGCAGCAGGTTCTTGGTCTTTCTCCTCCAGTAGAGGGTCCACCGCCTGTCCAGTCGCAGTCCCTGCTGGAGCCTTCCTCTCCACTGCCTGCTCCCTCTCCTTACACTGGTCCTACTGGAGGTCTTGCTGAGCGTCGTGAGCCTGCGTCTCGTCCCGCGTCGCCTGTTCGTGCTGCTCGCGCTAGTGGTCGCAGTTCGCGTCAGCGTCCTCCTCCTGTCCCTGGCACGCACCGGATGTCTTTGCGTCCGTCCACTGCTCCTCTGCGTGCCCCTTTGCCTTCTCCTCCTGAGTCCTCTCTTCCTACGCTTGCTGACCCTGAGTCGGACTCTCTTCGTGCTGCCAGTCCTTCTGTCACGCGTCTGCTTGCTACTGTCGTCACTGACCCCTCTTTTGAGTCCACTGCTGCGTCTGCTCTAGTCGCTGAGCTCGTCGACTTTGCTGCTCGCTGTCGTCTCGACTACGCTGCTAGTCTTGTTGCTGAGTCTGCGTCTGTCTGTCCTCCGTCCGTCGGGGGTGAGTGTGCTCTTGGCACGGACGTCCTAGAGGACAGGCAGGAGGAGTTACAGTGTCTAGCGGCTGCTTCACCTCATCTCGCGTCTGTACTGCTTGCCCCTGAGGGAGACCCGGATGCACTAGACATCCCGACTCCGCGCTCTTACGCGGAGGCCGTAGAGGGTCCCTACTCCTCTCAGTGGCAGGCAGCTATGGATGCAGAGATGGCTTCCTGGAAGTCCACAGGCACCTACGTTGATGCGGTTCCCCCTCCTGGGGCGAACATCGTCAGTGGCATGTGGATCTTCAGGGTGAAGCGGCCGCCGGGCTCTCCACCTGTCTTCAAGGCACGGTACGTTGCTCGTGGCTCTAGTCAGCGGCAGGGAGTTGACTACTTTCAGACCTTCTCTCCCACCCCGAAGATGACTACTCTTCGGGTGCTGCTGCACATAGCCGCTCAGCGCGACTACGAGCTTCACTCTCTCGACTTCAGCACTGCGTTCTTGCAGGGTAGCCTGCACGAGGAGATCTGGCTTCGCCGTCCACCTGGCTTCACTGGGACTTTCCCTCCTGGCACCCAGTGGAGCCTCCGACGGCCAGTCTACGGTCTCCGCCAGGCACCGCGTGAGTGGCACGACACACTGAGGACTACGCTTGCGGCTCTTGGGTTTGCTCCTTCTACTGCTGACCCGTCGCTGTTTCTTCGCACCGACACTTCCCTGCCGCCGTTCTACATCCTCGTGTACGTCGACGACTTGGTCTTTGCCACAGCGGACACTGCTGGACTCGCCTACGTGAAGTCCGAGCTGCTGAAGAGACACACGTGCACAGACCTGGGTGAACTGCGCAGCTACCTTGGCTTGCAGATCACTCGAGACAGAGCACGCCGCACCATTACCTTGACTCAGTCACACATGGTGCAGCAGGTCCTTCAGCGCTTCGGCTTCACGTACTCCTCGCCTCAGGCTACTCCTCTGCCTACTCGCCACTCACTCTCAGCTCTGCCTTCGGATGAGTCCGTAGAGTCGAGTGGTCCATATGCAGAGCTTGTTGGCTGCCTCATGTACCTGATGACCTGCACACGACCTGACCTTGCATACCCTCTGAGCATTCTTGCACGCTATGTTGCTCCTGGGAGACACAGACCAGAGCACATGGCTGCAGCGAAGAGGGTATTGCGCTACCTGTGCAGTACGTCGGGCATGGGGCTAGTGCTTGGAGGGCGGAGTCCAGTGGTCCTTACCGGCCACGCGGACGCTTCTTGGGCTGACGACCAGGCTACGCAGCGGTCGTCACAGGGTTACACCTTCAGCCTTGGTTCCGGCTCTGTCTCGTGGCGGTCTACTCGCTCGTCTTCGGTTCTCGGCTCCAGTTGTGAGGCTGAGATCTACGCCGGGGCCATGGCTGCACAGGAGCTTCGCTGGCTCACCTACCTGCTGACTGACCTTGGAGAGCCGCCTCGTTCTCCTCCAGTGCTGTACGTAGACAACAAGGCCATGCTGGCCTTGTGTCGAGAGCAGCGCTTGGAGCACAGAACGAAGCACATTGCTCTCCGCTACTTCCTTGCTCGTGAGCTGCAGCAGCGTGGTCAGTTGCGACTTGCGTACGTGGCCTTTGAGGCCAACACTACTGATGTGTTCACCAAGGCACTCGCGCCTTGTGACCATCAGCGCTTTTGCACCCAGCTGGGTCTTGTGCCTGTCTTGCCTCACTTGCTCTCCTCTTGACTTCACTTGTACTGTGACATATATATATACCTGCTCTTGCTTGTCTAGTTTTATATATATGTCTGTACTCCTGCATGTGAACTGGCCTCTGGCCCTGCTCTTGTGCTCGGACTGTGTGGTGACTTAGTGATCCACCCTGAGCTTGCTTTGCTTTGCTTGACTGGTCTTGTGACCCCTTGTTCTCCCCCACTTTGCCTATGGGGGTGTGTCAAACATTATATATGTTATGCTTGTGTAGGCTACAGTGGGTTAGCCTATAGGGGGTACACAATTCTAGGGTTTCCTACTTGTACTCATTTCACTGCTAGTTCATTCATTCCTGTTCACTTATTTCACATAGAGAAAATTGTGCATCGGCCAGTCTGGCCGGCATTTCGCACTTATAGTACAACTAGGGCCAAGGAGAACGGAAACGCTCATTTCTCAAAAAGTAGAGGTGGCTGCGTCGGGTCAGGTGCTTGCTGCTGCGTCCCGGTCAGGTCCTGAGTCTGCCCCCTGTTCTTGTCGCCTCCTGTCTCACGAGACTCTCCTGTGGCACCACCGTCTTGGCCACCCCTCCTTGCCCCGTCTTCGGAGCATGGCTTCCCGTGTCCTTGTCTCTGGTCTTCCCCAGTCTCTCCCTCCTCTCCCCTCCGGGCCAGGACCTTCCTGTGTCCCCTGTGTCGAGGGTCGCCTCCGGGCTACTCCTCACTCCTCCCACTTCCCCCCGACAGAGGCTCCCCTGCAGACGCTTCACATGGATGTGTGGGGCCCAGCCCCCATCCGTGGGCAGGGTCACGAGCGCTACTTCCTGTTGGTGGTTGACGACTACTCGCGTTACACCACAGTCCTCCCCTTGCACAGCAAGGGTGCGGTCACCGAGGTGCTGATCGACTGGATCCGCGAGGCTCGTCTCCAGCTCAGGAAGAGCTTCGGCTCGGACTTTCCTGTTCTGCGTCTGCACTCGGACAGAGGCGGAGAGTTCTCTTCTCGCCTTCTGCGGGACTACTGTCGTGCACGGGGGATTCGCCAGACCTTCACGCTTCCGGACTCACCACAGCAAAATGGGATTGCTGAGCGCCGCATTGGCATGGTCATGGATGTCGCTCGTACGTCCATGATGCATGCGGCTGCCCCCCATTTTCTGTGGCCGTTTGCGGTGAGGTACGCGGCGCATCAGCTCAACCTTCACCCCCGGGTCTCTCGGCCTGCGATGTCCCCAGCCTTGCTGTGGACGGGGAAGGTTGGCGATGCGTCTGTGTTCCGTGTCTGGGGATCTCGGGCGTTTGTCCGCGACTTGTCTGCGGACAAGCTGTCCCCTCGTGCTGCTCCCTGTGTCTTCCTTGGCTTCCCCACTGACGCCCCAGGGTGGCAGTTTTACCACCCCTCCTCTCGTCGTGTTCTGTCCTCCCAGGACGTCACGTTCGACGAGTCAGTCCCCTTCTACCGTCTCTTCCCCTACCGCACTCCTTCCCTCCCCCCTCCCCTGGACTTCCTTGTGCCGGTTCCCCCTCCGGTAGACCCCCTCCCCCCTCAGGTTCCTGCCCCCTCAGGTGTGTCCCAGGTAGACGCCGTTGACCCGGTCGAGGTTACAGGTGACTCTGGTGCTGCCGCGGGTGCTGAGCCTGGGGGTGCTGACTCTGGGGGTGCTGTGCGCGGGGGTGCTTAGCCTGGGGGTGCTACTGCTGGGGGTGCTGGGCCTGGGGGTGCTACTGCGGAGGGTGCGGAGCCTGGGGGTGCTGAGTCGGGGGGTGCTGTGCCTGGAGGTGCTGGGTCTGGGGGTGCTGGGTCGGGAGCTGCTGAGCCTGGGGGTGCTGAGCTGGGAGCTGCTGAGCCTGGGGGTGCTGCGTCTGGAGCTGCTGAGCCTGGGGTTTCTCCTGCTGCTGCGTCTCGCCGGGAGCCCCTCTCTCCACAGGAGCTGCGTGAGTGGTTCGCTCGCCGCTGGAGGCGTGCTGCTGAGTCTGGAGGTGCTGCTGGAGCTGGAGCTGGAGGTTCTTCGACCGTCGAGGGTGCGGGTGCTGCCGGTCCCGGAGCTGCTGGACCTGCGGGTCCTCCTAGAGCTGGAGCTGCTGAGGGCGTTGGTGCTGAGCCTACTGCTGTTGGTCCTGCCGCTGGAGGTGTGGGTGGCGCTGGTGCTGTCGCTGAGGGTGCTGGTGCTGTCCCTGCTGAGTCT